TGCTGAAGAACAAGAATTCAGGACTGATTTGGATGTCTTAATTTCTATTGTTGTTGTTGTTTGTTTGTGGGTTTTTTGTTTGGTTTTTTTGTTTGTTTTTTTTTTTAAATTTCATTTGCCTCATGCACTTCCTCACTCTGCTGTAATTATCATCATAATTACAGCAAATTTTAATTATTATTTGCTAAAGTATTTTCTTTGTATTTGCTATTAACATGCTACTTCTGAGATGTTTCAAGCGTACGCTTCTTTATTCTCCCCTGTCCGTGAACTGTGGTACATTATTCATTACTTCTCTGTAATTTGATGTAAATTCTTTTGCATGCAATCATCCCTTTGAATTTTGAAGTGTGTTGTTGTTTTTTAATCAGAATTTCTGAATAAACTATAAAGAAAAGAAGCCCCCAGCACGTATTCATCAGCATAATGATTTTAAATACATGCTTTCCCTCTTCCAGAATTCTGGCAGACTCGATTTTATTCATCTCGTCAGGAATGTCGGCCCTTCCAGAAAGACACGAAGGAGTACCTAATTCAAAAGTTGTTCCATGTGCTGTCATACTCCAAGTACTTGATCTTCGACCTTTAGTCACCATCACGGAGAATTCATACAAGGTATTTGGTTTTAACCCGGTCACTAAATAGCTCAAAGTGGTCGCATTTGCAGTCTGAAAGAAAAACAAAGTGTCAGTAACTTCTGAACTGAAAACCATCAATCATCAGCTCTCAAAAACCCTTGTCTCAGGTAAGTGTTAAAAACATCACTACATTTTCATAACCACAATCATTAATTCTGTAACGTTTTTACTCTGTCATGCAAATTCATTAATCAAGTATTAATGTGCAGTTGTTTTATCCTAAACTAGAAATTCTTTCTGCAATCAGCTAGAGTGTTTAATAGCAGTCAATTATAAATTAAAAAAATAAAAAGCAATGCAAGGTCCAGGGCACACTTGCTATGCAGCAGGCTAAATCACTGTCTACTTGGGGGGTTTAATTTACAGCATTTCATTAACTGATCTGGCTAGGGAGAACAACGAAGCACAGCTAACAATAACAGTCCTTCTTGAGATCTCTATCTGCCTTCCAAGTTCCCGCTAGAATTTTCAGTAAACTTTTAACATACTTTAAAAAAAATCAACTGAAAGTACAGGTGCTGAGAGACTTGAAGACAATGAAGCTTTATTAATATGTAGCTATTTTTCAGAAAAAACGGTTATCTAGGATCACACACTGAAACTACACATGGTTTATAGTGTAATTTGTAACTCAGCCATTTATGTAGAATTTTTGACTTTAAGTTAAAATATCTGATATTTTTTATACATGACTTGAACATAAACACAAAGTACTTGAGGCCTATGGGGAAAAAAAAAAATCTACATATATGTATATTCCTTACCCTAACCTACAGCGATCTGAACATAGAATTAAAGAGTTAGTTGTATGGCCCTGTCAAATACTGAAACAACAACTGTATTAATAACTATTGCCTTCAGAAAACATCTGGGGTTTCGTCAAGGAAAAGGCCATCTACGTTCCTTGAAGACGTAGAAAGAAACCCCCTATTTCTCAAATATCAATGACGGCTTTTTTGTTACACCAGGTGAAAGTTCAGAAAACTGAAGCCAAGTGATACTTAGATTTGTACAAAATATTTTGCTTGTGCACAGACATGCATTTTGCCAGTTAGACATCACAGAGCTGGACAGAGAATAAAGACATCATAAACCTAATTAAAATCAAGTGCTCCATTACCTTTAAACCTTTACTTGATACAAAACTCAGTGTAGTTTCAAAGCAAATGTGATTGTGGCTGAATGGTTCAAATATTGAAGCACAGGGCAGGACAGTTCTTAGATGCGTTCAGTGACAAAGCTTGATTGAGCACAACCTCCCTAGTACGAGCGTGAAGCCGTGCGTTCAGAAGAGCTCTTCATCAGCCCTCAAAGTGCCAAGCGACACTGTCTCCCGGCTCTTTGTGGCGCGGCTCAGGGACGTTCGGAAATAGCTGATGCTTCAGTAGAAGCTGCAAAGACCTTTGGCCTGGACAATTATATGATGACAATTCCAAAGGATAAATCTTTTCCTAGCATCTTGCATTATGAGCTGACTTACCCCCTGAAAAGCACACCATTTCTTCCTCTCCAGAATACCTGTGGAAAATCCTAACACTGTTTATAGTACTTTTTAGCTCATAGCTGCAGTTGTATGTGGCAGCTGGAGTCCTTTTTACAGGTTAAAGTTGTATTTTTCATCTATGGCTTTGAAACTTGTTATCTTTTAGTTTCACTGCACATCACATTGAATGTAAATGACACGTGAAAGGCTAAACTGTGTTAGACTTCCCTGCTTTCTTCATTTTTTAACACCACTTACTGTTTTTAAGATCACAACATATCCCATGGTACTAAACCCTGCTCACCTACTAGAAATAGACTTCATAAATATTACACTGTAAAATTTATTTTCTTTTTATACAGTCCTAAAAGATCTAAGTTAAGATTTAGTATTTTAGCTTCTGCTGGAGAGGACCCTGATAAATCACAGGTAGCCTGCGAGTAGGACAACTCTGCTCCACCAACAAAGATTCTTTGAAAAACGCTCTCTGATCCACATTAGTGAAACTACACGGTTCAAAGCACAGCGGAGTATTTTAGCTTCAGGAACTGTATCACATCTGTTCCTGTGTTTATATGCTCTAGATTGACACAACTCCTATACAAATTTAAGAAAATAAGGCTCCTTAAGGTGGAACCTCTTAACTTGTATTTCAAGCATGCAGCCTCTTCTTTAATAACAGTTTGCGAATGTCAGCATAGAAGGGGGGAGCAAATGTAGAAAATATGAATGAACTATATCAACATCCAACTTTCTGACAAGAGGGATGGATGAAACAACACTGGTTTGAACAGATGTAGCTTTGGATACTAGAGAACTGACACAAAGATACGATTTCTGTGTGCAAGGCTGCGTAACGGAGAAGCTCCGATGCAACCGGGCAAACAGCCTCAAAACATGCAATAAATAACAAAGCTGCTAGCGATGGCTATGACAAACAATATACTAGCTCATACGTAATAAAGTTACCAAAGACCTGACTGAAATGCAGCAGCTTATTGCAGAGCACTGCTGAAAAGAGGTTTTGCCTTTCTTAAAATTAGCAATTGTTATTGTCCCACAGAGTAGTACAGAATTCATGATTGAAACAAAGAAAGAAAAGCAGGATTGAGTTCTCCAAACATCATGGGTTAAAAATTATTAGAGCACATGTTCTCAAACTTACGTCCTTTCAGGCAAATGCTTTTTACAATGAGTAATTTTGAACTATACTCCATCATTACATATTATTTTTGGTCCACAATAAAACTTCTTGACCACTGGCCACCAGCACCGAGAACGGTGGGAGTATTTCATTTACCACTGAGGGTGGGTTTTTTTAAGCATTTAACTAATGAAACTGCAGCATTATATAAATCACTCCCAAGACATCCTCTGCACATGCCTCAGGAATGTGGGTTCATAAATAGCCTGCCTTTAGAGGAAGAACACACATATATACATCTTTTCATTTCAATAAAAAAAAAAAATCTGGTTTGTAACAAGATTGCTCTGTAGGAGCGTAAAGGGAGCTCCACTAGCCGGATATTTTAACAACCATTTCCTTTGAGTCCCATTTCAAATGTGAAATTTGCAGTCAGCATTTTGGAGGCCTTCAGATAACTCTGAAAATTAAAAAAATATCCAACCAACCAACTACAAAAACCCAAACCAATAAACAAAACCCCAAATCTAGTCTCCAAATCAAAACAGCAGAGGAAAATCAAGGAAGACAGGGATATCATTAAGTTACTGTTGTATATTTTGCACCCATTCAGTTCCCAAAGGAAGGGCTCACTATCAACTTCGTATGAACAGAACAGGCTGTAAAAGGAAACTTAAAACCGTCAGGGTAAATATCTTCCCCGCATGACTTACCCCACAAATTCAGATTCTTCTGCTAACCGGAGGGAAGCCATTAGTAACACATACCTTATTAACGCATTATTGGCTCCTCTAAAGGTAAGCCCACATCTGTCATACAAAGCGATTGTGTTAGGGTGAAACGGGTCACCGTGTCCGTGGTTCCACAGCAGAACCTAACTCTGGAAGTGTCTGCCTTCCTCCCCTGAGCCAGCTCTTCCATTCACGCACACACAACGCCTCAATCTCTTTCACACACACACGCAAGAGAGACCACAAAACCAACTATTTCCACTAAATCTAGAGGAATCTTTGAAGTGATGATTTAACTGAGCAGCACTGATGTGAACCCAGTCCAGGCATCTCAGATAAAACCGGGCACACGTCTATACTGTTTTCCAACCGCTTGTCTTCACTCTCAGCTTTCACTTAACCCTGACTTGAACATGAAACTTCTTCTCACTGGAATAATGCAGCTGTGTTAGTGTTGTTGAAACTCCAATACCTTGTACTTCGTATTGGCAGGAATATTGGTTTTCCAGCGAACTGTGTAGTAGCGAGCATCTGTGATCTTCTGGTTCTTTGGCAGAGAGTTGTCTGCCCAAGTGATCCGAATGGTGTCATGACTCAGAATGGAAGCCTGAACTCCCACCGGTGGCATCATGGGAGACGGATCTGGCACTGGAGTGTATGGAGCATTAATAACAAACAAATCAACTTCGGAAGTGTCTAGGGAATTGATGGGTAAAAAGTAGTGTATTATAATTAAAAAGGGAGAAGGTGGCATTTTAATGTAAACAAAAACAAAAAAGGGGAAATGCAGGGTAGTACAATGAAATGAAAGGTGAGAAATGGAGAAAAAGAGAGAAAAGCCAGAGTTAATAGGTGACATAAGACTGGCTAATAAAATTACTCTTGCATCGTGTTCCCTTCTTAAGACAGTAAGACAACATATATATGCTCATACATATACCTAATCATATTAGTGCTCAGTGCATTCAACCATGGCCTAAGAACCCCAAACATACAGTAATTTTATTTGCCTCAATGTCCACTGATTCCTCTTCCAGAAAACAATGAGGAGGAAAAAGAGCTGGACTTCTTCTAGATGGGTAGATGCCACTTCATAAAAATTACAGGGAACTCCCATCATCTTTTAAAGAATGTTAATGGCAACCAAGTTCCAAGTATCGTACAAATTTGCAATAACTGAAGAAACTGCAATTCCAATGTCCTCTATAAAATCTGTAAGAATTCCTGCTCTTCAGAAGACTAAAACAAACAGCAGAGTTAACATCTACACAAAATAACTACGTCAACAGTCTAGTAGGGAGCACAGTGAGCCATAGCATAGTAGTAGCTCACTTGCAAATTTCTCTGCTTAAAATCTTGTATTAATGTATTACAAGATGAAAAAAAAATATGCCAAGAACTTGGTTAGTGTAAATGACTGCAGACTGAGGCTTAGACAAAGAAAATGCAGGCATCATATTAAAAATCTCCGTGTAAAACACCAAAAAAACCTATACTTGTCCATAAAAAACAAAGTAAGGGCAATGCCTTTAGAACTGCACCCACACAATTTGTGCTAACATAATGGTAACTTTTTGAATAAGAACATCTAAAAGTAGCTGAAAGGTAAGTTTGCAATTTAAAAATGAAACCAATTTTAGGTGGTTTATTAAACGGATGAAACATGCGAGGCAATCACTGAAACAGTAAGGCCAATCAGTTAAAGAAATGGAGGGTACTTGATGACACTGAAAAACAACACTCTTGCATTACGTATCATCTCATTTTCAGCTGCAGGGGCGTGTTAACAACTTTCAGCTGTGCAGAACATAAAAGCAGCCCCTCGCCTTTACCTGAGTGCGGCCTGGTCACGGCGCTCTCGTAGAGAGGGATTCCTTCACCAACGTTGTTAAACGCTTTCAGAGTTATGACATAGTGGGAGCTTGGGTCTAAAGGGAAAAAATTAAGTGTATTTTTAGTGCAAACTGTTAGTGAATCCTATTTTCTGCTTCTCCGTCTTCTCTTTGTTCAGTATTTTATTTTTTAACAGAAATAAGTGAAATAACTAGACTAAATTTGAATTAAGAAAGTCTCCATACGGACCTTCTTTTAGCGTTCAATAGTTCTTATACAGCAGAAGTCTATAGTCACAGCATATCTACCTTAAGTACAGTCAAAATAGTAGTGAGGAAAAACATTTTTAAATGAACACTTTAAGCTGCCCTACTACGATACTATCCAAAACTCCAATTTTATGGAATTTCCCAATAGTTCGCAATAGGGATATTTATTTTGCGTTCAGGATATCTCACCTACCACAGAGAGTTCTGTGGAGGAACAATTCTATATTTTTCTTTTAAAGTAGATGCCACTGTATCTTGGTGACATTTTAGTTTCTTTTTTGCCTGAAGCCATCTGTTCCGCAGCTCCAGAAGAAGAATAAGGGAACGCTGCTCGGCGTGAAAGTTTTTGTAATAACCGTTGAAGGGAAAGCATCAAATCAAAATGCACTATGCTTCAAACTTGGTGAATTTAGGATTCTGGGTTTGGGGTTTTTTTTATTCCTCTGCCTCTTTCTCTATCAGCAGAAAATTGAGTTTACTTGAAATTTGTCAACAGTTTGGCATCCCATATAATATCTGAATAAGGAAAAAGATCCTCTTACAAACATACTTGTAGTTTTATTTGTTTATAACACAATAATTAGAAAACAGCAACATAAATGAGAGGTAAAACTCGGGCACTGGTGTTCCTACCTAGGTTTTCAATGGTGTAGTATCTCTGCTTATAGTCCACCTTGATGGTCTGCGCGTGAGGACTGCCGATGCCATACCCTATAGCATAGCCTCTCACCACGATGTTCTGGTTTTCAGGTGGGGTCCAGCTTACCACGATACTGGTGACAAGCGGACGGACGTGTAAGGAACTTGGAACTTCAGGAACACGAGTTTCTGTTAAAGAAAAACGATGGATTTAAAGGACTTCTCTTAAACAAAGGTAACTACATGAAGAGCTATGAGCTAGTAAGGTCAAATGTAGCACTTCTACTCGGCGTCTGTATTGAAATGAGTACGCTTCAAAGGAGAGAGCTTTATTGTACAAGAGAGAGCAAGGAACTCTAAGCAGAAGAAAATTAACATAGTTTTGTATACTAATATATTTTAATAGATCCTCTTTTTAAAGGAGTGGACTGAAGAGAAGTATCAGATCTGCTTCAAGGCAGACTATTTTGATGTTCGTGCATGTTCTTTCCAATTTGTAATTTTTCAAAATATGCACTAAATTTATCATGTCTTTCCCCTCCACAAAGCAATCTACTTTAGTTCCACCATATTACTTACTTGTGGGCATTAAAATAATTATATCGAAAACACAATGATGATGAAAGAAAGGTTCCTGAGCTCATTGTAGGATTAAACAGAATATTCCAAAGCTCCAAGAATTGTGAGTAAACTGGATATTGCATGTGCTGCAAAGGTTTCTTGTGATTTGTCCTACACTTGTTGCTGTTTAAATCCTTGAGCCTCTTTAACAAAATTCACAAAATATCTGCAAAAACTACACAACCATACCACAAGATCAAAAAATACTCAGCGAGTCCATAACAGATGCTCGAATCTACCCCCAACAGGCAACACAAATCTAGTCACAACCCAACAGAGAGATGGAATGTGGATCCTTAGTAACAGAAGGACTTCCACATGTCACTGTAATCTCCTAATATTTTTACTAAAAGGATTTTTCCCCAATGTTGATTACAACTTAAAAGCAATCTAAAAGCACAACTATACATACTAATGTCCATACCTTTGTTTTAACTTCTCAAAAATTAAATAAGTACTTTTGTCAGGCCACTGGAGCCTGCCGTATGTTGACAGATTATAAATAATTCTGTGCTTACTATTGTAAGCTGAGTTCTCCACTCTAAAATAAAATCAGTTCAGAGAGTTCCGCTTCCTGCAGGGATTTCATTTTAATGAAACATGCTGCATTTATCTAAAAACATTTAATAAAGCACACAACAGGATTATTTGGATCATAATATGCCATTGGCCTGCTAGCCCAGGGAGTTCATGGTCTCCAGCTGACACAGCTGATCAATTAAAGTCCACCACTATTAAATACAGAAAAGCTACAGAATTGCAATATAAGAGATGACATTTTTAACTGCACAGAAGTTAGTGCATTGGGGATAAACTCTGTGCAACTGTTTAACACCTCTTGCACATGCAGTCCTGGTGGGACTTGCACCGACTCTGCAAAATTACACAGCCCTGCTAACACTAAATTGTAACAGTCTGGCTCCCATTCACATTGATGACACTATGAAGTGAATTATTTTCTTTTTAAATTCAAAAAGCAGCCATGGAATAAAAAGGAATTATGCCTTACGTATCTATTGAACCTGGGAAATTAAAGATTAACTGTAAATACATTTGCATAGTATTAAAATTATCCACATGAGCTTACTAAAGAAAGAAAAGCAAGAGAGAGACATCTTCTTTCCAGTAGGCACATACACAAATATCTCATACATGTATACAGAATGATATGAATACCATGCTACATTGTCTTAATTGCGAACTTTTATTACTTTATTCATTGTAAAGAATAGGCATAAAGAAAGTTACATGTCCTGCAAGGACTGCAACATTCCAATTTGAAAAAAATTAAAATGACAAAATCAACACAGAATCAGAAGTTCTTTTCTTCTCCCTACTTCTGCCGTATCTAAATTTAATCCTGATGCTATCTTCTGGCAAAGTCTTGTTAACTCTAATTCACAAGCAGAGCACATTTTCATTACCTTGTGTAAGTGCTGCCCATTTACAGAGCTCTACTTCAGTCTGGGGAACTAGTGGTTTCTCAAAGCTGCAAGGTTGTGTCGCATCCAGTTAGAGGAAGACAGACACACAGATGCAAGTAATTTCAACTCTAAAAAGTAAATTTTAAATAACTACAAAACTGAACTCTACTGTTAACATTGTTTCTTGTGTTGCTCTTGATTAAGCAATGGAGTAAGAAAGAGGAGGACAAGTATTAAGTAGAGCATCAACTCTGCATAACACAAAGATTGAAGCGTGGGCTCTCAACGGCTTTAATCAGCTGACTGTTGAAGCAATCTTCCACCAGTGTAGAGCAAATATTGAAGCTTTTTTATTATTCTGTCTTCCAGCTGCCAGTGTAACTGAATCTCAAGCCACACAGATGTGAAAGACATTACTGGATCCTGCGGCATTATGCTAGAACGACCCTCCAGCTACTTTTAACAAAGCCAAGAGGGAGGCTGGCCTGCAAAAAGCGTAAGGTAACTTGTGTGCAACGGCCCTGACGAAGTGCTCTTCTGAAACGGGAACCCAGAATCACCAGCTCCACGTAGGCAGTTCCAAAGAGATCTGCCCCAGCCATCCTTTTAAAAATCGCACTTCTCATCTTCAATTTCAATTGCTTTTAGCCAGATTCTGGGAGATGCTCACAAATTTGCTCATTTGAATTCTGCAAGAATCAGGTTCCCCCTTGCAAATTATTCTACTGTAATAAATACCAAACATCTGGACCAACTACCAAAGTTCAAAATTTTTTTACACGACATTTTCTACTTTTATTGTTAAACTCTACACTGGAAAAACAAGATGTTAACATGTTGTGTATACTACACATCATGAATATATGGCTTTGGTGGAAGACTTCATTTCTGACGGAAGATATGGCCTGTACTAGTCTATCAGTACTGAAAATACAATCAATCTCCCTTTTCTTCTAAAGTGGCAAAACAACAATTACTGGGGGTCAAACGTTCTCCTTAGAAAAAGAGTCTAAGCAAAGAAAAAAAATTCAGGAAAAGTGTTTTAAGAGAGCATGGTACCAATGAAACACAGTGGTGAGATTCCAAAGGTCTATGGGTGACAGCAATGTTTTCCACTGTTTCTTTCCTACTGTGGCATCTCTCTCACATTCAACAAAGTTTACAACTCCCGTCTGCAACCACAGTGCAGGCGCCAACACTGCAAACGGCAGCCAACAGGACTACATCGATCAGCGCACGGTATCTCCGAACACCCAGTCACCACTCCGAACTCTTTGAGGTATACTTCAATGGTTTCATTAGCTTAGCTTAGGTGCTACATAAATACATAATCACTATTTTACTTCCCTCATGGAAAACAGTCCTCCTACCTCTTTCATAGCATGTAAACCCCTGCATAATTAACAAGATGAATTTTATTACAATATAAAAATCGAGCCATTATTATTACTATATAAATCTTATTATTTAAATATTGAAACACTGACATTGTAATTCATAATTGGGTATTTCTTAGCAGAAAAAACATAGTGCAAACATACAGTACTAGAAAGTGTAGAAGCAGCATTTAATTTCAAGCCATTTAATTGACTTGGCAAGAATTTTGTGTTAAAATAGAAATTAATTTCACTTAACCATAAAAAAAGCACATCGTATAATTTGAATACAGTAAAAACAATTGAACAAAATCAGGTTTGCCTTTAAAAAAGGCAATCAAATTTACTGTGCCCTGTCCACGAATTCTAATGTTTCTGATGTCACAAATATGTTCACACTCATGATCTTACCATCTAGATCACTCTCAAACGTTTCTGCTGATATCCAGTCGGTAGCCGGTCCAGTACCATTAACAGTCAAGGCAGCTACTCGGAAGCTGTATTCTGTACCTCGTTCAAGACCTAAGAGACAAGGAGTATCCAAGATACCAACACAGGAATTCCAGCTGTGAGCACAGGAATCACAGTTCCTAATTAAAATACAGGTACAACCTGACAGTAAAAAGCCTTTCACCCCAGCACGGCTACCTGAGCATAGCATGAGCTCAGGAAGGGAAACGGCACTACCCACGGCGCAGCTCCGGTAAGGAAGCCGACACCAATTAGGGTGTAACAGCTAAACTGTGATCGCAGACACCCAGGGCTGTGACACTCTGCAGACTGTCCCTGTGGGCTACTGGAAGAGTCTGTGAGGTATTGTTTGCAGCCAGCTTTAATTTCTGGCTATTAATTAGTTTAAGTACAAAACCACCCAACATCCGTAACTAAACCTAGGTGTAGGCTATAGACAGCAAGTGACCAAACTGTGCAAACAGTTTCTTTACTGTATATAAGAGTGTATAATCAATAATCAAAGCAGGATGAAAACGCCCTCAAAATTTGATATATGGAACTTCTTAAAAAGGCTTCGTTGCTGGCAAAAACATACTCTAGTTACAGGCGCATATCAACTCCTACTCTGTGAGAAAACTGAAACTTCCTGAGTCACAGCTGGAGCTTCTGAGAACAAATCAAAACATCTTGTTAAAAAGTGCATATTCATTTTCTAGAGAGGCACAATTTCTTCTCTTTTGACCAACTGTTCATTTACAGAGATGGAAAAAATGAACAAAATGTAGTCTTGCTCCTATTCTCATGTACTGTTTACTTCTGCTAAACAAAACTCTAGTTCTGGATAACAATATATAATTTACACTAAGTAAGGTACTAGATTGGATTTTTTAAGTGTACAAAATAAAGAGAGGATATATTACATTCATGCCAGAAAGAAGGAAAAGGCTGATGTCAGTGAAACTAGGTGGGATGATTTGCAGAGATGCCTGAGGTAAGCAGCTCATAGGACTGAGCTGGGCTTGTTGGTGAGCGTTGCAAGACAGAGCACGCTCCCTTACAGCCACATGCACACAGGTCAGTCTGCCGAACACCCAGCCAGACTGCATTTCTTTGGCACCCTTCTCCATACATTTATTTCTGGCATTCGGGCAGACACCATGAGCTCAGGACCACCTTCTCCATGCAACCCCTGTGCCTTTTATAAAGGTTTTAAAAGGACTCGTCCAGTCCACTCAGCAAATCAATGGCAAAACTAGGGCTAGAAAACAGGTCACTAGACTTTGGTTACTACTAGCCAGCCCACGCTACCTCATAACCTACAAACGCTCATTTTAAGCGTTTTCATTGTTTCTTCCAAGGCAAGAACCCTACATAAACATGTCTCTGAGCCTCAGCCCACTAAAAGCACCTAAAACCCCCCTTCTGATAACAAATGCTTGCAAATAATAGCTCACCTTCAATTAGCTGAAAAAGCTGGGTCCCACCAATGCTCTCTGTCACATCACTCTTGCGGGACACTTTACGGTAGCGAATTTTGTAGCCGGTGATTTGTCCGCTGTGCGTCCCCGCAGGAGGAGGCTGCCAGTGTAGCATGATGCTCTGTGGAAGGTAGAAGGTTATTACAAAGTCATCGCCTCCCACGCAGCCAGAGAAACTACTCTAGTGCTAATACTTCATGAAATACAAGATAAAAAACACACATACAGATAATACTACATTTGCATATAGTAAAACATAGGCTATCTGTAAAAAGTAAAAAACCTATGATTCAGCAGCAGCCCAGGTCATACATGTGCCTACAGAAGTTCACCTCAAAGCGCTTCAATCCTATTACAGCTTCTGATTCCAATTTCACAAATGGCCCCTTGGGTTTCCCTTTCATTTTCTTCGGCTTATCTTAAAATACGGTTTACTTGAGGATCTACCTTTAAGAACTGGTATTTTGTCTAAAGGGTACAAGTTATCTGAACTGTAGTTTATGTGCAGGAAGTTAGTTATTTTTAATCATACAGGCAGTAGAAAAAGGTATTTGGAAAAGAGTTTAGGAAAGGCTTTTTAAAACATCTCCAATCATAAACACTGAAGTCATAATGACTAAGTATATCATTTTCTCTTTTAAAGTGCTCAGGACATATAAACGTGCGTGTGTATGCACACACACTGTAGACAATAGTTAATCAAGAGGAACACATTCAAGCTCTGGTGCTTCAGGCTTTTGTGCCTAATCAAACCTCTTTCATAATTAGCCTCCATGCTTTGGTACGTTGCCACTGTCTTTACTGCATTCCGCTACGTACAGTCCCCAACTGGATTGGAGTTTCTAATGCTTCAGGCCCCACGTTCAGGTATTCTCCTGTTGGGCAACTCATACACAAATAGCCGAACAGCAGCATGGTAGAAAAGAAACACAAAGCAGCTCTAAGTTTTGGTTGATCTAAGACCCACCAACCTTTTGTTTACCCACTACCAACAGGGAATTCTCCACATCTTACCTTGGAATTCCGTACCTCCAGCGTTAGATTCTGCGGTGGAGCACTGGGGACTAGAAACATTAGAGGAATTACAACTCCAAAATTTCCATATACTGTATTTCCATACACAACTACTCTCTGCTGTCATTCATTACGAAGTACAAACCATTCTGGTTAGAGACACTAAATAAAGTAACTACAAATTTCTAGCAGAGGTACTTTATGAAATACAGTGACTAGCTTAGGAGGTTTACATATTTTCAACACAAAGAATGAACTCACTTTTTATTCAGGCCTTTACTTACCACAGGTATCTAAATAAAAAATGTCTATATTTAAAGGTACTTCCCATAAACTCTAAGAAAAGAGATCACATTCAGTACCTTTCAAAATCAAATCTTTAATTTACATGCTGGATTCTGGGAACCCACATTTAAAATTCTAGCCATGGTTTTTGTTATCATGATTTTCTGTAAGAGGAAAACCTCAGAGTCAGCACGTCCCTGTGCTACTGAAGAGGTGAAGTGCATCGCAAATAGTTTCTGCTTTTAAACCTCCGTTCTTTGTTGGTTCTTTACTAGCTGTAGCAACTTGCTGGTCATGACAATGAAAGTCCATTAGACAAAAAGGTAATGTAAGAGAGAACCCGAGACCAAGGAAATCCTTGTCGCGGCGCTTCAGACTCACAAACGTTATCTCAAGGGCACAGATAAGGGTTCCCTGGCAGGAAGGTGAGGCTCCAGCAAAGCACAAGGACAGGGAAGTAGCACAACAGAGCTAAAGAGCCTTCTGGCCTGAATAATGTATTTTCCAAATAACTCACGCCAGCCACAACAATACCTAAGAAAACACTCCTGAGTGCATAAAGTGAAAGTAGCCCTGCGATAAGTGAAAGGTACACTGGGGTGTGCTTAAATAAATACCCCTCTCCCACTATCCCACAACAGAAATGGAGACAATGAAGATTTGTTTTTCCTTCTCTCTTGCCAACTGAACTGTGTCTGAAATCACCAGACCTAGGGATTAAGTGCTACGTCCTTCAAAAAGCAAGAACACAGGTTAAGAGGAGGAAATGAAATAAAGCTAAGCTTTTTTCTTTGCTGTTTGTTTGGTTTACGCAGTTGGTGCCTACTTTCAGAACAACCTAAAAATAAGTCACGGGTTTCACAAGGAGCGATTAATAATTAACGCATATATTGCAAACTTGGCGAGAGAACGACAATCAGTAGGACACAGGAAAGGATACATGCATGTAAATATATTCATATACACGTACCTCACCACGTGCAGTTTGTTTGATGTCAAAGTAAGCTTAGACTCAGATCAGATTAAGAACTTAACCAGGCCAACAAATAAAATGGATTTCCTACGGGGTGATATTCCACGCTTCGATAGGGAACGCATAGCCTAGTTCGGTACGTTGTACAGTAACCATCCAGGCAGGAGGACCACGACGTGCTAATGGTTCAGGGGGGCTGCAAGGACGAGTTGGCAAGGGAAACGCCCTCTGTCAGGGTGGGATGCAGAGATTACATTTCTAGTTGTGATACATGATTGATTCATACAGATCAGGAAGACCATGAGAAGAGAAGCAGTCCTTATAAGCAGTACGTAAACCTTGGTTCAAATTGTAATACCTGAAGGGCTATCCTGCAACAAACCACCGTAACATACTTAGATTAGGAGCAAAGACCTACAGAAAAATGTGGAAGCTTGTGAAATAGAAGCTAAAGGAAGCTTAGAATGAAATCCCTGCAGGAAACATGGAGATTGCTTACAGACACCGCAATAAGAAAACACAAGAAGAATACGTGCATCTTTCATCTGGGAAGATTTGAGAGATTGAACGGGAGAACAGCACGGTTAAGCAGCAGGGTTATAAGATTCTAAGAAGCAAGACGACATCCTTCAGAAAGCTGTAGAAAATAAATTTCAATAGGTTAAATGTCAAAACATAAGTTGGGCCAGAAAGAACTTCAGGAAAACTTGAAAATGACATTACAACTAATAATAAATTCTTCTTCAAACAAATAAGGAGCTGGAAGCCCTTTAGAGAAATTGTGGAGTTAGCAGATGGTCAGGGTATGACAGAAAGAGAAAAAGATACGGCCACACAACTGCCTTCCTTGCATTTGTACTGAGTGGAAGGAAGAGGAGAGGTTTCCATGACACCCTGTACAAGAGACTCGCAGGATCTCTCCAACTGAAATGTCAGTGTAAGGGATTACGGAAGAGTCAGGCATAATGAAGAGCAGCGTGTTGCCAGGGTTAGATGCTATTCACCCAGGATTTCTCAAGGAACTTGGGAACAAAACGGTTGCATGACTTATAGCAGGGCTGTAACCTCTCACAAGTTACCTCGCTACTGGGAGATGGGAAATTTGATGCCAGTATTAAAAGGAGTTCTGTTTGAGAAACTACTGGAAACGTCAAGTAGCAAGTCAGAAATCTGTATTAGGCAAATAAACTGAAGCTATAATAAAGCACGAAATTCAGAGATCCATGGAGGAACAATATGTATTTGTCACTTTTTAAAGGGAAATCCTGCGTCACAAACCTGCTGGAGAGCTCTTAAGAAACAAAGCCATGAGGGGAAGCCCTTGCCTGAGTAAACAACTGGTTAAAAGAAAGGAAAAAGAAGGTAGGAATGAACATGGTGGGAGATGACCTGTGGAGCTCCACCGTGGTATGTGCCGAGATCCCTGTTGCTCAACACATTCGTAAGTGATGAAAGGGGGACGAGCAGCGAGGTGACAAACGTTAATACAGACCAGATCTGATGGTAAAGAACTGCAGAAAGACCTCAGGACATTTTGTGCCTGGATGTTAAAGTGACAGGTGAAATTCATGGCAGATAAAGTTACACACATGGGAAAAATAATCCTGCCTCTATATGCAAAATGATGGCTCTAAGCAGACCAATTCCACCAATATCAGTCTATCCCAAAAATGTCACCTCGGTGCTCAGAATGAGCCAAAAAAGTCAGTCAAATGCCAGTAATTACACACTTGCATCTCTGATACCATTTTGGTCCCCTCTATCTCCACTTTTAAAAGCACGTAGGAGAAAAGAAACCTAGAAAAAAGTTCAGAAAAGGGTACTGCAGGTTGGAACAGCTGCCACAAAAGAAATGGCAAAACATTGCTGTGACTTTTCAATCTGGAAAAAAGATGAATGAGGGAGAATACAGCAAAGGTCTATAAAATGGGGAGTGAGACAGAGAGGGCTGGGGGACACCCGTTATTCCCTCTCTCAGGCAGTACAGCTATAGGCAACAAATGATGCTAACATACAGCAGGTTCAAAACAGACAACACGGGGTGATTTTTCATACAAAATTTATTTGTAGAATCTTTGTCCACTTGATATTGTGGATGATAAAAGCTGACATGGGTTAAAGAGGATGCTGACAGGGTTTCATGGAAGAGAAACTGAATTAGTAAATACACAGAAACCACTGCAGAGTCAAGACGTCCCAGAGGAACAAACTTTTGGACAGAGAGAATTTGGGACAATACTCCTCTCTGCTCGTCTGTTCTGCTTTTGGCCACTCCTGGAGAGAGGATTCCAGGCTAGGCTCACTTTTGGTCTGATTATTCTTACATATAAGCAAACTCCTCTATAAAAAATAAAGGTTAACAATAACTCTGATCATTCTACAATTGTTCATATATCTATATTTGCTCACATTACCTCTTTATTTGCCTTATAGAAAATACTGTTACCACTTCCTGCTTTCATTATTATATGCAACTGATTTAATAGTATCTGTGCTGGAGTCCAGAGAAAGACATGCAACATTTTCCCATATGACCACAATTAAAATAAAAACACTCCAAAAGCAAAAGTCTGCTCATATGTAAAAATATTATAGAAGCTAAAAAATAATTTGGAGTTGTTGCCTTCAATGTAATTGTTTCTGTCCACTCTTAATACTTTGTAGACTCAATAACCCATGAAATAATCTACTGATGTTGAAATGAAGGACACCGTTGTTTCGTAATCGGAATCAGGTATAGTAATTTTCCTTCACCTAATTTGGAAAGCCTCTAGGGGGACTTTCAGCACGCATGACCATACACAACAACCACATTATTAATAAAATAGGGCAACAATGAACAAAAAACCCAGAAGTCCTTCTGATTAAAAATTCACTTAAAGGAAATTACCACATAATTCTGGGGGGAGGGT